TGTCTCATCTCCCCACCGTGTCTTGTCTTCCCATCACTGTCTTATCTCCCCACCGCTGTCTTATCTCCCCATCACTGTCTTATCTCCCCATCACTGTCTTATCTCCCCACCGCTGTTTTGCCTCCCCACCGCTGTCTTATCTCCCCACAGCTGCAGCATAGTCTTCATGTCTCCTCTCTTTACTTCTCTGTCTTGCATCTTTTTTCTTCCATCTTCCTTTTCTTCTTGTCTTGTTTTGTTTCCTTTGTTGTTTTATACCAACAAGTTTCAATAAGCTTTTTGCTTTGTCTATAAACATTAATTTGTGGATCGTGTTCCGGGGTAATGGTTAGCCAGTGCAGTTGGTGAGTTGTCCGGTCTTCTCGGATTATTCCTTGACACTGGGTCGTATGATTCGTTAACTCAGGGTGTGGTTGTTGTGTTGGCGACAGGTTTTAAATATTCACGCCCAGGTGCCCCCCCCCCCTAGGCCGGCTAACCTCGAACACGTGGGAGGTCACACACGTGTCCAAATCTGGCACCGCCGCCACCATGTGTAAATAGTCGACTTGAACCACATTCCTCACCCTGACTCAGGCCCACAAGCAATTCCTTACTATCATAGTCATGAATCGAACCTCAAACCTCTGCGTGTGAATAGGGTTCACTACCACGGCACCACTGTTTATGGACTGTTGATATATATTATTGGCAGCCTCGTGCTTTCTAGCTGGAGTCTGTAAAATGCTACTACAACTATTGAAAGTTGGCATGAGCAATTCCCGGTGGAGGCTAACGTTGCATAAGAATAAGTCGAACGAGCAGGTTTTGTCTGAAATATATAAAAGCGTATTTTCGCTTTTGTTGCCCTTGTGGTGCCGTGGTAGTGATCCTTGCTCACACGCAGAAGTCCCAGGTTTCGATTCCTTACTTAAAATGTTTAGGTATAATAGTATATGGCTTAATACAATATATACAGGCAATACTATTTCTCAATACAGAAAATACATATTCATAATACACAAATACTTAAAAATACAGTCCTGACAAAATTAATCAAAGGCACTTCCATCCCTCAGTGACCTCAACCACCACGCACTAGCAGGGTTTGGCAGTGGACTTCTGCACCATCCTTGCCATCGCCACTTACTGCCACTGCAGCCCTTTGCGCAGTCCGCCACTACAACAAAATTCAGCCCCATAAGAGCCCGCACCGATAGATATAAGAACAGCACCATCCCATCTATTATTAAAATAATAAACAGCTCCTTATTTATGTACTGTACAGCCCTGTAAATGTATTGAACGTATATTATTATGTCTAAATCGCATGTAAGTTTGTATATTTTCAGCCACCGGCTGCAACTCTATTAATAAACCGTTTATTATTATTATTATTATTATTATTATTATTATTATTATTATTATTATTATTATTATTATTATTATTATTATTAGAGATACACCACGAAACGTACAAGTGACAGGGATGAAAAAGGTTCAATGGAAGGACAACAAGTGGATTGAAGCGAGTAGTTTTAGGAATAGAAGTTGGTGCCGTGGCTTAACACAGCATGACTGATTGTTAAAGGATTGTAGTACAGACGAACAGCATCACAAGACCCACACTGCCGCTGCTCGAACTCAGAACCCCGGAAAAGGATGAAGTAGGTTAGTAGTAGAGTTGTTTGTTTACGGTACAGTCTTTAAGCTTATGCCAAAGATGGAACGGAAACAACATGCTCGTCTAAAGTACTCTATTGTCATATGAAGAATTCTAGAACGCTCGGCGAGTTTTTTCATGCCGCGGTTTGGAAGTTCAGGCGCTCACGATTGTGTACAGTGGGCGTCAAATGTTTTGTACTGTTTCTTAGCATTAACAAGGTGCTAAGGTGTGTCAGATTCCACCTCTCATATTTGTCCTCGCCTCCGAGAAGACAAGGTAGTGTGCATGGTGTTTTAATGAGCAAGCCTACAAAATTATGAGAGATTATTTTTTGCCCACCCGGTACAACCTGTAAGTGACAGCTGTCATGACTTGTCCAGTGACCAGGTCAGTTTTAAGTATAGCTCATTACTGCACACCTCTGGCAACCTAATATTTAACCTGTTCATTCCCGGGGCTCCATACATCAGAGTAGCAACTGTATTAACCAGACGTGAGTTCATATTACACACATAAAAAGGGTATAACTTAACATGGCTGTTGATCAAGGTACAGTCGCCTGCACTTACAGCTGGTACACTGACTGGCACGTTTTGTGTGATGTGGCACTCTGTCTTTGTTTACATCGTATTTAGACTCCCGGAATGGCCCCCAGGAACCCCACAACAGTAACCAGACTATACATATCAGCCAAGGAAGTGCCCACGTGTCTCACTGTTGTTGGTCTCGCCCCATGCACCCAGGACTCTGCCCACGCATGTGATTGAGAATGTACTGTATTAGCTGGAGTTGCAATGATGTGTAAGGTCTCTTTGATATAAAACAATATATACTGTACGTTATGTGGGGAGGGTGTTTGGGTGGCAAGAACGAGAGAGCGAAAGTAATTTTTCCCTAATGTGACTTTGTTCCAGGATGGCTGCCGGCGAGGATGGCGCTAGCAGTAATATCGTGGTTCGGGTTTATCAACTTGTATATGGTGCGCATCAACTTGTCTGTCATAATTGTGGCTATGGTCCGCCGCAACTCATCCACCTTCACCGCCCCCTGCCTCCCTCCACTCAACACCTCTTTCTGTGAGTGATTCGCTGAGGCTTAAGTCTGTCCTGTAATATGTTTTCCATAAGTTCAATAAAAAATCTTAAAAATAATAATCATATAATAAATTCAATAACTGTATAAATAGTACATCTAATTTAAAATGTTTGTGGAAACTGGGAAAACAATAAATGAATTAATTATTTATTAGAAATTTGTTAACTTAAAATTTTAATGTAGAATATACTGTTGCGTAATTTTTACCCGTGACTGACAGACGGGGAGAGTGTTGAGTCTCTTACTGACAAAACAACGCTTCCGAACGATGGAATGGTAAGATAACAAGGAATTCTTTTTTATCTTAATCATTAAAAGTAGACATAAAAAAATAAACTATACTGACTTGTAGGATGAGAATAAGAACAAATAAATTAATGTAGGTAAAAAGTCTATCCAGGATTACAGCAGTTGATGGGAGTGAAATGTGTCTTATGTTGTTCTTGGAGCTACGCTGTAGGTTGAGGCACGCAAGGTAGGTATCTACCTACCTTGGAGGCACGCGCCAGCCAGATAGCTCATGTTTACGAGCGCACTGTACTCAATAACAGCGACTGCGAATTTATTTCTTTGATTTCATCTAAAGTGGAAATGCCTGTTAATGATGATCGATATTAAAATATGTAAATAAATAAAACAATTGTTAAGGTTATTCAATTTTTCTGATATACTGTAGTATACAGTTTACTGTATTACATATAAATTGAAAAAAAAGACCTTAATTGCGTTACATTACTTTTGAAAAATTCACTGACAATTTTGCAAGAACAGACTGCTCAAATAATAGGAAAATATTATTGTATATGATAAATATCGATGCTGGACGCATTCTTAGTTACAATTTTATTGAACTTCTTTGTGTTTTTAGTAAAGACCCGTACACAAGTGGTAATATATATTGTTATGATCACTTCCCTCTTATATACGTAAGGCCTTCAAAGCACTGGAATGTCACAATAATAATTTTCACCCCACTAACTACCAAAATTCCAGTACTGGGATAGTGACCTTACACATGATTATTCCTTATCTTTCATATTTACGTCTTATGCCCAAGAACACCATAACTGAAAAAAAACTGTGTAATACAAACACTCCTACCCAAGAATATTTAGGGTAAATACATGTATGAACCGGGTAAATACTGTACCATTACAAGAAATACAAAAATTAAATAACTGAGTTATAAACACACCTACTTGAGAACACTTAAGGCAAAATCCTATATTAACCTGGCAAATACCAGTCTTCCCGCATACACAAGCAGCAACCAGAACCTCCACATGCATAGTATCACCCAAAAACCTCCGGTACACCTCCGATAGAAGCAAGGAGGCAGTGGAAGTAAAAAAAAAACAGGAGCACCTGCTCTAACTTGAGAGCAGAGAGAGACGAGTGACGTCCCGCCATTCCACGTGTAAGGTTCAGGTGGACCAAGTCCTCCGCCGCAAACATCAAAACCAAAGAACGATATGCCCAGCATTCCCACACGTACCCTAACAATCATTAATACCATCGTAAATATAGCATCTTACTTTACCACCCAATATAAGAGTACATAAAACAATAAAATAATACACAGATCAAGTTATGAAATAATAAATGAATTTTTACTATAATATATAGAAAACATACAGTAAGTCATGTTACTTACGTTACCAAATCAAGAAGCTTCCTAACAATACCTCACCAGATATTGCCCGCACCAACTATGAGGTCACAGCAGCATTTTACAGACTTTACTAGCTAGAAAGCACGAGGCTACCAATATATCTCAGGGCCGGCGCCAGCCTATTTGGCGCCCTTAGCAGGACTGCAGCTGGCGCCCCCACCCGCCTCTCACTTCACGATTGGGTTTGCCTACAAAGTAATCAAAGTAGCCATATTGAAGAAACTGTTTACCTTACACTGATCTATTTTAATTTGCTAATACATACATTAATTAGCAAATCCTCTTAAACTGTGGAATATCCAAAGAAAAGCACAGTATAAGCAACATAAAATAATGGCACGAAACGTGACTGTAAAAAACACTCAAAATCAAATTACCATTGTGTTTAAACAATACGCAATTCAATTAACATATGTCATGACATTCTGGATTCCGCCGTTTTCTCCTCTTCGCTACGTGCCTGCTTATAACAGTTATAACTTGACTCTTCTTGACTTCCTGGAAGCGAATTCGTCGATTACATCGTCATACGATAACTCCCTAGACACTGCATGGCTCATAATGATGATGGCCAGCCCCCTAAGACGTTCCTGCGCCATTGTGGATCGCAAATAAGTTTTTATCAGTATTAACTTAGAAAAGCTCCGCTCTGCTGCCGACACCGTTACAGGGAGAGTTGCACAGATCCGCAGAGCTACCCACAAGTTCGGGAATACTTCAGTAAATTTCTTTTCATGCAGGAAGGTAAGAAAATCCATTGTTGTCATTCTCTTGGAAGGCAAATCTGGGACACTGCAGCTCCATGGCCAGTTCCCTCTCATCAATGTCTGAGTGTCCCTCATGAGTAAGAGTGTTGCTGAGGGTTTGGCAGTGATCGACGATGTCTTTGTCAGACATGTCCGTGAACCCTAACAATACCTTGAACTTTTCATTCACCTCGCCCAAGGTCTTGAACCTCTCATTAAGAGAGGAAATCGCAGTGTCCACTACCACATAGAAAAATGTAGTCTCCATCCTCTTGCGTGCATCGCTGACAGGTTCGTCTGCACACTCATAGCTAAAGTGGCATTTTTTTTAGTTCTTAGTCTCTTCTGTTTCAGCACGATGTCTACGTTCATCGCTTCAGAGATTTCTTTAGCAATAGTTAGTGCATCAGCAAAACTCTGCATTTCTGTAGCTGACAATATTATCTCTGGTCTTCTTAAGCAGATCTACAGCCACGCCGAGCTGCATCGTAATCGACTGCATTGGTTTGCTTACGTGCTGAATTTTGCTGAGTATATCATACCACACAACTGAGCAAATGACAAAACGGTATGACCCTACGTCCTCTGCCAACGATTAAGCCTCAACTTTGATGACAGGGTCAGTTGCAGATTCTCTGAGCTCTAAAAGCGCTTCTCTGATTTGCGCAGGTTGATATCTAATTGCCTCTACACTTTTTACTCGGCTTTCCCATCTGATGTCTGACCACGATTTCAGAGTAATATTGACATGTTTTAAAAGAACTTGCCACCTCTGAGGGGAGACTGGAAGCAATGTGAATACTTTCATTAAATATCGGAAGAAACAAGTTGCATCTAGGGAGCTCTTGGCAGCGTCAGCTAATATCAAATTCAAATTATGGGCACCACACGAGACAAATAAGGCCCGAGAATTCTGTTGAAGAAGCCTGGCTTGAACTCCTTTGATGTTTCCTTTCTTATTTGCTCCATTGTCGTAAGATTGACCTTGACAATCCTCAAAAGAAATGTTCAGTTGTTTCAGTCTTCCGAGTAGAAGGCATGACAAATTTAGCCCTGTAGACTTCTCTACCTCAAGGAACCCCAAGAAATGCTCCTTTATTGTTGGCTTGTCTTCAAGTGCCACTATCCTGATTATGACAGAAAGTTGCTCTTTGTGACTCAAATCAGGGGTGCAGTCTAAAATAATAGAGAAGTATTTCGATGCTTTGATATCGTCTACGATTCTCTCAGTAATCTTTGCACTGATAATGTTAATCAGTTCATTTTGGATCATTTGGCCAAGGTAGTGAATGTGACTGTGATTGCCTGCATTACTTTCAACCCTACTTAAATGATTCTTCGTAACTGGATCAAATTTAGTCAAAAGTTCCACTTCTTGGAGAAAATTACCATTGGATGGACAGTTAAGTTTTTCGGCTGACCCTCTTAGAGCCAAATTTCTTTCAGCTAGAGACTTGGCGCCACCTTTTTTTTTAGTTTAACAAATTTATTGGCAGAGCTTGTAGTACAGTTTGCCTATTCTGAGTAATTCAGTCAGGTCTTGACACTGAGGGTGGTATCACTTCTCACTGCCACGCAGGACAGAGGTTCATACACAAAGAAATACATCATATTCATTAACAGCTTTAAATGTATAGAGGTCAGATTCATATGGGTAATGTCACTGTTCACTGCCATGCAGGACAGAGGTTCGTACACAAAGAGATGCATCATATTCATTGACAGTACATATACATATATGTGCACACACACATACACATATACATACATATACACATATACATACACATATACATGTACATATATATACACATATGCACACATACACACATACATACATACATATACGTCGGTCAGATTCATGTGGGTAATGTCACTCTTCACTGCCATACAGGACAGAGGTTCGTACACAAAGAAGGAAATACATCATATTCATTAGCAGTATATATAGGTCAGTGGATCACATACATTGGAGTCATATTCTAATTGAAGACTAATCAGTGTGGGCTAGCAAATTTGGGATAAACAGCAAGAATGTCCTCAAGCACCCCTGATTCAATGAAGTAATTACATAGTTCAAGATACAATAAGTCAGGTGGCCTGAAGTCTTTGACAGTGTCACATTCCATAATATAGTGTTCAAGTGTATGCTTTAAAGGTTTATCACAAGGTTTACATGCTGAGTGTTACGGTATGGGTACAGCGTTACTAACTTGCCAGATGCGTCTGTATCCAAGCCTAATTCTGGCCACGACTACATCACATTGTCTGGTTCTGTCCTTATGCTGGCCATACCGGTACCTCTTGTCACAAAATTTGTCATATTTACTAATGCTACAACTGTCAGGTCTCTCTGCATTTCTCACTTCTTCTAGATCAGAGTTCATGATTCTGACTTGAATGTTTTTAATTACAGCATTGGACAGGCCAAGGTCACGGTCAACATTTTCTTTCTTACATGCCTCATTGGCCAGTCTATCAGCACGGTCATGATACCTAATTCCAACATGGGACGGAATCCACACAAATTCGATACGAAAGTTGTTCTCATTGGCAGTTATCACATTCCTTTTAATATCACATACAACTTTAGACATAGAGCCTGACGGGCTGTTCATTGATTTCAAAGCACTTTGAGAGTTACAGAATATCACCCCACCTCCATTTTCTTTGAGGTAGTCTGTGGCTAAGAAGATTCCAGTTAGTTCAGTTTGTGTTGTGCTGGCCCAGTTGTTCAGCCTTTGTTTGTTTGACACTATCATTTCTTTTTCTTTATATATTACAATTGCACAGCCTGTTCTACCTGTGTTTGTCTGCACAGAACCATCCTGTTCCACTCAGCCATTAACATTTCCATTTCCCGTCGGTCTATCGTCCTTCCTCTTGTAATGTTGACCTCCAGTTCCTTCCATGTTGTCATGTTTTTGGTGTGTTCTATGCTACTTTCATGTGTGCTGAGCAAATGACTGGCATTTTTCCAATCATGGATGCCTTCTTCAGCCATTCTAACATGTTTCGTAGAAAACATTTTACAACAGAAGCAAAAAAGTTTATCCTGTTTCACCGAATAAATTAGCCAACTTCTTTGGATCTTCTCTCCATTTACTAAGATTCGACGAAAGTAATCATGTTGACATCTTCTCCCATCCTTTTTTTGGAAACACATAATTAGGATCAACCTGGTAAGGTCCTCTGCGAACAAGTTCTGCTTTTTCCTGGTTGGACATTGAGGATGGCCAGTCAGTGGCGTCAACAGGTGCAGCCCTGGATGCAGCACATTCGAGCTGTGGTGGTGACACTGTATCTGCTGGCTGTGAAGAATGGAGCTGTGGTGGTGACACTGTATCTGTTGGCTGTGAAGAATGGAGCTGTGGTGGTGACACTGTATCTGTTGGCGCCCTTAGCATTTGCTAACCTCGCCTAATGGAAGCGGCGGCCCTGAGATTATATCTCAACAGTCCACCTATACGCGGACTTCAATATACAGTACAAACATTATACAGTATACCTCACTATAAATAGTCTGGAGCTTGGGACCTGTACGTCTAAAAACAGGAGTATATTGCATGTGTGTCGTAGCATCCAGCCAATTTATTCAAATAATACTCACGGTCAGTTAGTTTTACTTCACGTAATATACCCTTTTTAAAATGATATATCAAATTACAATTAAAGGTTCACGTGGTTGGTCTCACAGGAGGGAGAGATGGAGTGGAGCGAGACGGTACAGGGTCAGGTCCTCGGCGGCTTCTACTACGGCTATGTCTTCTCCCAGGTACAGTACCATCACATCGCTCACCGTAGTAGTAGTCAACATCACAGACGTCGGCCAATGCCCAGCTGTATAGTTATAAACACTGAACAAAAAGAGTCTATAGTACAGTACACGCTACGTCTGAGTAAGGCCAGATTGGTGGTGAGTGTAGGGTTAAACATCCTCCCTTTACACTTACAGTATATTTGAACTGGGTTTGTTTATTCCAGCGTCTTGTAATAATATCTTGTCCACTCTTTCCCTCAACGGGTTTATACACACACACACACACACAGAGATACACACACACACACACACACACACACACACACACACACACACACACACAGATACACACACACACACACACACACACACATATATATATATATATATATATATATATATATATATATATATATATATATATATATATATATATAAATCTTACGTACAAGACCAATCAATTGACCGTACCGTATAGTGATATTAATTTAGTATATGGCATCAGATCATCGGCGGTCGGCTAGCGGAGATGTACGGGGCGCGATGGGTGTTTGGTGGAAGTATCCTGGCTGGTGGAGTGTCCGCCTTCCTCTCTCCAGTGTCCGCCCGCCTCCACTACGGAGTCCTTATTGCTGTCAGGGCTGCCCAGGGCTTTTGTCAGGTAAGTGATACATCTAGGAGTTGTATTCATAATTACGCTTATTGGTTTAGTGGGGTAACAGAGGCGGATCCAGGAATATTAAAACGGGGGCGGGGTTCAAGTAGTTGTGGGTGGGGGAACATGCGAGGACAGCGAGCCCACCCAGTTGGTGGTTTTTGGGAGGGCGCTGTAAGCCCGCCCCTATATTTTTTTAATCTGACCAATATCATGGGCATTTTGAAGCCATTTTGAGGCCATGCACACTTGATATTAGGAGATATTCTGAAGTCAATAATAATTTTTTTTTATTATACAAAAATGCCTGAGAACAATACCGCATTAAAGAAAAAGTATTGAAATTTTCTGGTGAAAAGGGGGGGGTCCAGACCCCCAGGACCCCCTCTGGATCCGCCCTTGGGTATTAAGACAGTAAACTTGCAGACGTGTTACAGGGAGTATCGTGGCCATCTATGCACGCCCTCATTTCCCGATGGTTCCCGCCCCAGGAGCGACCCCGTTTTGTTGGAATGGTTTACTTTGGTAAGTAATTCATTAACGGAGAACAACTGTTACCAGGCAACATGACATATAATGGTTTTAAGCATCATACATAACAAACATCATTGTGGCTAAAAGTTATGTGTCCTGTGAAGCGACATCCCTTAGTACCGCGGTGACGCTGCCTCTGTGTGGTGTCATCATTGACGCCTACGGTTGGCCTGCCGCCTTCTACCTGACTGGATGTTTCTCTATCTTGTGGTGCGTTTGTTGGTTTACCTTCATGTACAACACTCCATCTGAACATCCCAGGTATTATTTCTAATTTTGCTCTCATTCGAATATATAATTGTTGCTAAACATCATGGTAAATGTACTGTAATCATATCAGATCTCAAATAAGAAATCTTATTTGTCTTATCCCAGCAAGTGTCAGACAACAGGAGTCTTTTTTTGCCTTGGTAGGATCAGTCACAATGAGCTGGAGTACATAACCACGGCAGCAGAGAAGAGCGGTACATGCAACCAGAGGAGCGGGTGGGCAGTACCATGGCGCCGAATGTTCAGCAGCCTGCCCGTGTGGGCCATCATTATAAGCGGTGTGGGCAGCAATTGGGGAATTTCCCTTTTCTACAGTCTACTGCCCACTTACATAAAGAACATCCTCGGTTTCTCAATCAAGGCGGTGTGTTAAATATCTGGAGTATTTCTACAGTTTTGGCCCGAGAGGCGTCCTCTTTTACCATTTGAGGAGCAGAGGGAGATTAGGGGAGGGAGGTTTAAGGAACCATAACACTTCCATTATATCTGACTGTATGTCTTAGTGCCCCCCCCTCCCCTCCCACACTCCTTTTAGGACTTTAAGACCGAAGAGCGTTGCCTCAGCACCGTCCCGCTCTGTAATGTTAACCAGGGAGGAGTACTGCCAGTATCCGTTCAACAGTTACTTCCATATGTTCCATTATGTGTGTTGTAAATAATTGATAAATTCACAATATTGAGTGATCATTATAGGATACATCTAACTGTATTGTCCTCTGTTAAATTACTGTCTCCTAAATTTTCTTCGGTTAACATTAAAATAATTTTCAGCGTCAGTTTCTTCATACTGAGATACTAGTACCACTCACTTAACAATGTATATATTTAGTGTGTGTATGTGTGCAGAATGGCGCTCTGTCCTCCCTGCCCTTCCTCTCCCGGTACGTGGGTGCTATCGTGTCGAGCATCTTGGGGGACTATCTCACCAGCACTGGTCGCTTGTCAGTCCTCGCCTCGCGCAGGATCTTTAGCGTCATTGGTAAGTCCAGCTGCTTTGTGTGTGTGTGTGTGTGTGTGTGTGTGTGTGTGTGTGTGTGTGTGTGTGTGTGTGTAATAGGGATAATTGCCAGAGAAGCTGACGTTTTTGCCAAGTAAGGATAACTTTACTTCTGTCGCTACAAGTTGATGAACAGTAACTTGTATATGGTAAAATATGTTGTTTCATTTAAGACATTTACTCTTATAAGATGGCCAAATTATACCAACATTAGGTTAGGTTAGGTTAGCTTAGCTTAGGTTAGGTGAGGTTAGGTTAGATTAGGTTAGGTTAGGTTAGATTAGGTTTGGTTAGGTTAGCTTAGCTTAGGTGAGGTTAGGTTAGATTAGGTTAGGTTAGATTAGGTTTGGTTAGGTTAGATTAGCTTAGGTTAGGTTTAGTGAAGTTAGGTTAGGTTCGGTTAGCTTAGGTTTTCTATGAAATTATTCATTTATATGAATTTTAATGATCTTCATGATTGTCTATGACCACTCAGAAATTTCCTCCCCAAATTTCATTATAGAAGTTATTGCTATATGGCAGTTATCATTGTTTGGTAGCTGTTTAGATTAGAACAAGGACGGCGGAGTCTTCATTAGTAATCATAAACAGCCCCTGAGCTTTTGGCCGTCATAGCGCGACCCACAATATCATCAACACTGGACATCCTAAAGTAGACTATAGGCTCGGAGTACCCCAGCTCGTCCACACAACACTGAGTACCTGGAGCCAAGTACTGCAGATCGAAACCAATTATATGAAGTATTAACCTTAGGGCGTATCTTGTAACCTTTGGTGGTGATGGTAATGAAGATGGTGGGTGTTGTGGTAGTGGTAGGTGATGTGGTAGTGGTGGGTGGTGTGGTAGTGGTGGGTGGTGTGGTAAGTGTGGTAGTGGTGGGTGGTGTGGTAAGTGTGGTAGTGGTGGGTGGTGTGGTAAGTGTGGTAGTGGTGGGTGGTGTGGTAAGTGTGGTAGTGGTGGGTGGTGTGGTAAGTGTGGTAGTGGTGGGTGGTGTGTGTGTGGTGAGTGGTGTGGTGTGGTGGGTGTGGTAGGGTGGGTAGGGTGTGTGTGTGTGGGGTGTGTGGGTATGTGGGTGGTAGAAAGGTGGTGGTGGTATGTAGGGTGGTGTGTGGTGTGGTAGTGGTGGTGTGGTGGGTGGTAGTGGTAATGTGGTTTGGGAGGTGGTGTGTGGTGGTGGTGAGTGGTGTGGTGGTGTGTGGTGGTGTGGTGGTGGTGTGGGTGGGTGGTGTGGTAGTGAGTGGTGGGTGGTGCGGTAGTGTGGTGGTGGTGTGGTTTGGTGTGGTGGGTTGTGTGGTAGGAGTGTGGTAGTGGTGGGTGGAGGTGTGGTGGGTGTGGTGGGTGGGTGGTGGTAGGGTGTGGTAGTGGTGGGTGGTGTAGTGGGTGTAATGGTGGTGGGTGATGTGGTAGTGTGTGGTGGTGGTGGTGGTGTGGTAAGTGTGGTAGTGGTGGGTGGTTTTGGTAGAGGTGTGGGTAGTGTGGTGGGTGGTGTGGTAAATGTGGTAGTGGTGTGGTGTGGTAGAATATGTGGTAGTGGTGGGGTTGTGGTAAGTGTGGTAGTGTTGGGTGGTGTGGTAAGTGTGGTAGTGGTGGGTGGTGTGGTAAGTGTGGTAGTGGTGGGTGGTGTGGTAAGTGTGGTAGTGGTGGGTGGAGTGGTAAGTGTGATAGTGGTGGGTGGTGTGGTAAGTGTGGTAGTGGTGATTTGATTTGATTTTGATTTTGCTGCTTGGCCTTCTTTACTTTATTGTGCAATTCTACACTCATCCTGGTGAGTGGTAGCAAAAGGATTATACAGAGTAGTTTACAACGGGTCATACACACTAACCCCGTTGTCAGGATATTATGGCACTGAATGTTACACAGTATTTCATTTACATTATTTGTTTAGTTCTATACATAAAGCGGGTAAATTTATCTACAAATGCGTGAGGACAGGCGTGTGAGGCAGTATGTCTTACCCTCACACTTTGTTATTCACGTTTACGTGAGAGGTATTCGCCACATTGCGTATTTGGTTCTGGTACATGAGAATTGGGATATAGTTACTAAGCGCAAAAAAAGTGGATACAATCTTAATATGTCGGCTATCTTGCCATTAGAGATGAAGTGTTGTGCCATTTCACACACAGTGTGCTTGGACCTGTCCCTAAAGGTTCTTTCTTCACACAGTCGAGGACGTAGGAAATAGAAGTGTACATATGTATGGCCATTATCCCTGTTAGCTTCTAGTTTTGTTTGGCGACTAAGCTTGAGGAATATATCGTCAAAGGTACTTATATCTCTAACCTTAATCTAGCGGTTACGCTATCTTGTAATCTAGTGATCTTGTTACTTGCTCCATATACATGTTTCACTTGATACATCTCATCATGGTAACCTGGATCGACTAGTGCCTGTTTGCATTTGGTTCACTTGGTGTCAAACTCATCAATGTTCTTCCTAATTACAGTTTTATGGTTCTTTTGAATAGACCCAAATTGTATTCAACGGTGCCTTTGTTAGACGCGAGTTTATGAGGGCATCAACCTGTCATGTTTTATGAGGCCTATGTGGAGAGGGGATTCATTAACAGGTTTGACCTTGACACCCTGGTCACCAAGGCACGCATATTTGTGTCTGGCTTCAGAGACAAGAGCGTGACAACCTGAGTCGAGGGTGCCAAGGGCAAGTAGTGAGGATAGAGAGTCAGTGATGATGAGACTGTCAGTAACAGTGGTTTCAATGAATTTAATAGCTGTGAGTATGGCAACTAATTCAGTTTGTAGAGGGATGCCCAGCTGTTAATTCTAACTCCTTTCTCAATTATATTACTGTCAGGTTGAGTCACAACAATAGCACTTCCAGCCCCACAGGCGGTGTTTAGAGATCCATCAGTGTAGATGGTCTGTGTGATATTTTCATCAGTCTGTAGAGTGTGTATGTGTTCAAGAGCTCTCAATTTGGCAGTGTGTTGGAGATAAATGCTTTGGTATAATAAATTTTAGGCGGATATGCTCGCGGCTTATGGATGATATCGAAGGAACTGTCCGCCAGGGTGGCAGGAAGCGCTGTTGTGTCTCAACTTTGTACAGGTGGTCTAGTCCAAATATCTTCATAAGTGAAGCTGTAGTTTGGATCCATTTAGACTCAGTAGTCCCATGGTTCATAAGCATTCTAGCAATTCTTAAGGAAACAATGTTATCAGGATCACACGCAGAAGCCTCAGGGCTATCATGAGGCTGACTTCACTATTCTATCTTGACACTGGGTATACCTAGTTCTTTTTCCTCATATTAAGTAATTTTAGTGCTCATGGGATATCCTAGGATAATTCTGCAGAGGGGCTTTATTTTGCATTTTCTCGAGCTTGTCAACGCCTTTCCTGCTTCACGAATGACCAGGGCTTGTGCGTGGTAATTCATCAGAGATCTTATATAGCCTAGGTAATATTGTTTTAACAATTTAATATTAGCACCATAGTAGCTTAAAATTTCTGCCACAATTCTCTAAGAGGTCTCCAGTCTGTCAAAGTAATATCATGGGTTAGCTGTTGTATGGCAGGTAGGGGCACAAGGGACGGAAACACCAAGATATTTAAAAGAAGAAACATAATAATAGTGTTGTTACCTATCTTTGAACTGCAGGGGGCTGCGTTTGTTGTTAATTAGTTTGTTTGTTGAACACCTTAGTTTTCTTTAGTGGAAGGAATAAGACTGGAGGTGTTCAGAGGCCGCGCATACATGGTTCAGGGTGGCTTGCATTTCACGATGAGTTTAGTATGTATAAGAATATCATCAGTATAGCTGATTGGAGATATTGCTGGGGGTTGTCTGGCATTAAATTTAATAACGCATTCATAAGAACATTGGAACAAAAATGGGGACTAAGTAACGCACCTTGAGGTACCAAAGTTGCACAGATCTTTAACTTCACTTGTAACCCTGAAACAGTGCAGCAGCTGTCTCTTGTTGGTTAGGTAGCCACTATCCAATGTGTAACAGCCTTACCTCTATATCCATTTTGGCTGTCTGTACATCAGTTGCCTATTGGCACATCAAATGTGCTTTTTAGGTCAAGAAATGTGGTGTATCTAAAGTTTTCATCAACATGCATGCTAGGAATGTGGTGATGCAATTATGTCCTTTATGGGTGGTGGTGGGTGTGGTAGTGGTGGGTGGTGGTAGTGGTGGGTGGTGTGGTGGTAGTGGTGGTGGTGGTGGGTGGTGGTGGTGGTGTGGGGTGGTAGTGGTGGGTGGTGTGGTGGTAGTGGTGGGTGGTGGTGGTGGTGGTGGTGGTAGTGGTGGGTGATGTGGTAGGTGGTAGTTAGTGGTAGTACTGTAGTAATAAATAATATAATCGTTACAATAGCCTTGATGGGGCCAGCTGCGATGTTGCTGGTGGTGACCTACATAGGATGCAACTGGATGGCCACTATGGCCCTCATGTGCGTGTGTCTCTTCTGCAATGGTGCCGTTAGTGCCTCGATTATGGTGAACCACGTCGACATCGCTCCCACTTTGCAGGTAATAATGGAGAGAGAGGAGGGGGGGGGGGGGGGGGTTCATTTCCCAGTAAACAAGGAGACACACTCAAGGTGATCTGGACACTTGAGTACACAGGGACCACAAGAGCTCAAGTCCATAGTAAGTGTTAAAAATGGCTTCAGCTCTGGTCAGTATAGATGTGGGTTTGGTGATTCAAAATATATACACACATGATTGTTACGAATGTATAATCACCGTAGAAAATACATATAATTCTTATCTATGTATGAATAACTATCGGAATCACCATGTAACAGTTTTTGTGTATATGAAAATGTGAATTTGTTTTGCATGCGTGCATATAAGATTCAGACAAGTGTGTGTGTGTGTGTGTGTGTTACGTGTCCCAGTTAAATCCCCTTCTCCACACTGTTATCTCCCCATACACACGTTCCTCCCATACTGTTATCTCCCCATACACACACACCTCCCATACTATTATCTCCCCATACACACACACCTCCCATACTATTATCTCCCCATACACACACACCTCCCATACTATTATCTCCCATACACACACACCTCCCATACTGTTATCTCCCCATACACACACACCTCCCATGCTATTATCTCCCCATACACACACACCTCCCATGCTATTATCTCCCCATACACACACACCTCCCATACTGTTATCTCCCCATACACACACACTTCCCATACTGTTATCTCCCCATACACACGCTTCTCCCATACCTGTTATTTCCCCATACGCGCTTTCTCTCATATTCTTAGCTCCCCATACACGCTCCTCCCATATTCTTAGCTCTCCATAACTGTGTCTCCCCACAGGCACTCTCTTCGGGATCGACAACACGGTGGGGAGTATAATATCGTTCATTGTACCCGGAGTAGTCGGCGTCATGACGGATGGCCAGGTTAGCTCCCAGCACTGTGTCTTGTCTCCCCACCACCGTCTTGCCTCCCTACCACTGTCTTGTCTCCCCAGCACTGTCTTGTCTCCCCACCACTGTCTTGCCTTCCACTACTGTTCCTTGTCTCCTCACCACTGTCCTGTCTCCCCACCACTGTTTCTTGTCTCCTCACCACTGTCTTTTCTCCCACCAATGTGTCATGTCTCCCACCAGTGTCTTGTCTTCCCACTGTTTCTTGTCTCCCCACCACTGTCTTGTCTCCCTACCACTGTGTCTTCTCTCCCAGAACTGTCTTGTCTCCCCACCACTGTCTTTTTTCTCCCCAGCAATGTGTCATGTCTCCCACCACTTTCTTGTCTCCCCACCACTGTCTTGTCTCCCCACCACTGTCTTTTTCTCCCCAACCAATGTGTCTTGTCTTCCCACCACTGTCTTGTCTCCCCACCACTGTCTTTTCTCCCAACCAAGTGTCTTGTCTCCCCACCACTGTCTTTTTCTCCCCACCACTGTCTTTTCTCCCACCAATGTGTCATGTCTCACCAGTGTCTTGTCTCCCACTACTGTTTCTTGTCTCCCCACCACTGTCTTGTCTCCCCACCACTGTCTTTTCTCCCCACCAATGTGTCATGTCTCCCACCACTGTCTTGTCTCCCCACCACTGTCTTGTCTCCCCACCACTGTCTTTTCTCCCCAACCAATGTGTCTTGTCTTCCCACCACTGTCTTGTCTCCCCACCACTGTCTTTTCTCCCCAACCAATGTGTCTTGTCTCCCCACCACTGTCTTTTCTCCCCACCACTGTCTTTTCTCCCCACCAATGTGTCATGTCTCCCCACCAGTGTCTTGTCTCCCCAACCAATGTGTCTTGTCTCCCCACCACTGTCTTTTCTCCCCAACTGTCGTGTCTTGTCTCCTGCCACTGTCTTTTTCTCCCCAACCAATGTGTCTTGTCTCCCCACCACTGTCTTTTTCCCCAATCAATGTGTCTTGTCTCCCCAATCAATGTGTCTTGTCTCCCCACCACTGTCTTTTCTCCCCAACCAATGTGTCTTGTCTCCCACCACTGTCTTTTTCTCCCCAACCAATGTGTGTCTTGTCTCCCACCACTGTCTTTTGTCCCCACCAATGTGTCTTGTCTCCCCACCACTGTCTTGTCTCCCCACCACTGTCTTTTCTCCCACCATTGTGTCTTGTCTTCCACCACTGTCATGTCTCCCCACCACTGTCTATTCTCCCCACCAATGTGTCTTGTCTCCGCACCACTGTCTTGTCTCCCACCACCGTCTTGTCTCCCACCACTGTCTATTCTCCCCACCAATGTGTCTTGTCTCCACACCACTGTCTTGTCTCCCCACCACTGTCTTGTCTTCCCACCACTGTCTTGTCTCCCCACCACTGTCTTGTTTCCCACCACTGTCTTGTCTCCCCAACACTGTCTTGTCTCCCCACCACTGTCTTGTCTCTCCACCAATGTGTCTTGTCTCCCACCAATGTCTTTTCTCCCCACCACTGTCTTGTCTCCCCACCACTGTCTTGTCTCCACCACTGTCATGTCTCCCCACCAATGTGTCTTGTCTCCCACCACTGTCTTTCTCCCCACCACTGTCTTGTCTCCCTACCACTGTGTCTTCTCTCCCAGCACTGTCTTGTCTCCCCACCACTGTCTTTTTCTCCCCACCACTGTGTCTTGTCTTCCCACCACTGTCTTGCCCCCCACCACTGTGTCTTGTCTCCCCACCACTCTCTTGTATCCCCACCATGTCTTTCTCCCACCAATGTGTCTTGTCTCCCCACCACTGTCTTGTCTCCCCACCACTGTCTTGTCTCCCCACCACTGTCTTTCTCCCCACCACTGTGTCTTGTCTCCCACCACTGTCTTGTCTCCCCCTCACCACTGTCTTGTCTCCTCACCACTGTCTTGTCTCCCCACCACTGTGTCTTGTCTCCACCACTGTCTTGTCTCCCACCACTGTGTCTTGTCTCCCCACCACTGTCTTGTCTCCCCACCACTGTCTTGTCTCCCACCACTGTCTTGTCTCCCACCACTGTTCCTTGTCTCCTCACCACTGTCTTGTCTCCCTACCACTGTGTCTTCTCCCAGCACTGTCTTGTCTCCCCACCACTGTCTTTTTCTCCCACCACTGTGTCTTGTCTTCCCACCACTGTCTTGTCTCCCCACCACTGTGTCTGTCTCCCCACCACTGTCTTGTCTCCCCACCACTGTGTCTTGTCTTCTCCCACCACTGTCTTGTCTCCCCACCACTGTCTTGTCTCCCCACCACAGTCTTGTCTCCCCACCACTGTCTTTTCTCCCACCACTGTCTTGTCTCCCCACCACTGTCTTGTCTCCCCACCACTGTCTTGTTCTCACCACCTTGTCTCCCCACCACTGTGTCTGTCCTCCCCACCACCTGTCTTGTCTCCCCACCACTGTGTCTTGTCTTCCCACCACTGTCTTGTCTCCCCACCACTGTCTTGTCTCCCCCACCACTGTCTTGTCTCCCCACCACTGTCTTTTCTCCCCACCACTGTCTTGTCTCCCCACCACTGTCTTGTCTCCCCACCACTGTCTTGTCTCCTCACCACTGTCTTGTCTCCCCACCACTGTGTCTGTCTCCCCACCACTGTCTTGTCTCCCACCACTGTGTCTTGTCTTCCCACCACTGTCTTGTCTCCCCACCACTGTCTTGTCTCCCCACCACTGTCTTGTCTCCTCACCACTGTCTTGTCTCCTCACCACTGTCTTGTCTCCCCACCACTGTCTTGTCTCCTCACCACTGTCTTGTCTTCCCACCACTGTCTTGTCTCCCACCACTGTCTTGTCTCCCCACCACTCTCTTGTATCCCCACCACTGTCTTGTCTCCCACCACTGTGTCTTGTCTCTCACCACTGTCTTGTCTCTCACCACTGTCTTGTCTCCCCACCACTGTGTCTTGTCTCCCCACCACTGTCTTGTCTCCCACCACTGTGTCTTCTCTCCCCAGCACTGTCTTGTCTCCCCACCACTGTCTTTTCTCTCCCCACCAATGTGTTCATGCTCCCCACCACTGTCTTGTCTCCCCACCACTGTCTTGTCTCCCCACCACTGTCTTGTCTCCCACCACTGTCTTTTTCCCCACCAATGTGTCTTGTCTTCCCACCACTGTCTTGTCTCCCCAACACTGTCTTGTCTCCCCACCACTCTTTTTCTCCCACCATGTGTCTTGTCTCCCACCACTGTCTTGTCTCCCCACCACTGTCTATTCTCCCACCAATGTGTCTTGTCTCCCACCACTGTCTTGCCTCCCCACCACTGTCTTGTCTTCTCACCACTGTCTTGTCTCTCACCACTGTCTTGTCTCCCACCACTGTCTTGTCTCCCCCACCACTCTCTTTCTCCCACCACTGTCTTGTCTCCCCACCACTGTCTTGTCTCCTCACCACTGTCTTGTATCCCCACCACTGTCTTGTCTCCCCACCACCACTGTCTTGTCTCCCCACCACTGTCTTGTCTTCCCACCACTGTCTTGTCTCCCCACCACTGTGTCTTGTCTCCCCACCACTGTCTTGTCTCCCTCACCACTGTCTTGTATCCCCACCCACTGTCTTTGTCTCCCCACCACTGTCTTGTCTCCCCACCACTGTGTCTTGTCTCCCACCACTGTGTTTGTCTCCCACCACTGTGTCTTGTCTCCCACTGTCTTGTCTCCCCACCACTGTCTTGTCTTCCCACCACTGTCTTGTTCCCCCACCACTGTCTTGTCTCCCCACCACTGTCATGTCTTCCCACCACTGTCTATTCCTCCCCACCAATGTGCTTGTCTCCCCACCACTGTCTTGTCTCCCCACCACTGTCTTGTCTTCCCCACCACTGTCTTGTCTCCCCACCACTGTCTTGTCTCCCCACCACTGTCTTGTCTCCCCAACACTGTCTTGTCTCCCACCACTGTCTTGTCTCCCCCCACCACTGTCTTGTCTTCCCACCACTGTCTTGTCTCCCCACCACGTCATGTCTTCCCACCACTGTCTATTCTCCCCACCAATGTGTCTTGTCTCCCCACCACTGTCTTGTCTCCCAACACTGTCTTGCCCCCCACCACTGTCTTGTCTCCTCACCGTCTTGTCTTCCCACCACTGTCTTGTCTCCCACCACTGTGTCTTGTCTCCCACCACTGTCTTGTCTTCCCTCTTGTCTCCCACCACTGTCTTGTCTCCCCACCACTGTCTTGTCTTCCCACCACGTCTTGTCTCCCCACCACTGTCTTGTCTCCCCACCACTGTCTTGTCTCCCCACCACTGTCTTGTCTTCCCACCACTGTCTTGTCTCCCCACCACTGTCTTGTCTCCCCACCACTGTCTTGTCTCCCCACCACTGTCTTGTATCCCCACCACTGTCTTGTCTTCCCACCACTGTCTTGTCTCCCCACCACTGTCTTGACTTCCCACCACTGTCTTGTCTCCCCACCACTGTCTTGTCTCCCACCACTGTCTTGTCTCCCCATCACTGTCTTTTCTCCCACCAATGTGCCTTGTCTTCCCACCACTGTCTTGTCTCCCCACCACTGTCTTGTCTCCCCACCACTGTCTTGTCTCCCCACCACTGTCTATTCTCCCCACCAATGTGTCTTGTCTCCCCACCACTGTCTTGTCTCCCCACCACTGTCTTGTTTCTCCCACCACTGTCTTGTCTCCCCACCACTGTCTTGTCTCCCCACCACCACCGTCTGTTCCCCACCACTGTCTTGACTTCCCACCACTGTCTTGACTTCCCACCACTGTCTTGTCTCCCCACCACTGTCTTGTCTTCCCACCACTGTCTTGTCTCCCCACCACTGTCTTGTCTCCCCACCACTGTCTTGCTCCTCACCACTGTCTTGTATCCCCACCACTGTCTATTCTTCCCCACCAATGTGTCTTGTCTCCCCACCACTGTCTTGTCTCCCCACCACTGTCTTGTCTTCACCACTGTCTTGTCTCCCCACCACTGTCTTGTCTCCCCACCACTCTCTTGTCTCCCCATCACTGTCTTTTCTCCCACCAATGTGCCTTGTCTTCCCACCACTGTCTTGTCTCCCCACCACCGTCTTTTCTCCCCACCAAATTGTCTTGTCTTCCCACCACTGTCTTGTCTCCCCAATATTGTTTTGTTTCCCCTCCACTGTCTTTTCTCCCCACCAATGTGCCTTTTCTCCCCACCACTGTCTTGTATCCCCACCACTGTGCTTTTTATCCTAGCTTAACGCTAACCTCACCTAACCTAACAGCTGGATTCTTCAGATGATCCAAAATTTTTCGACAGTAAGATATGTTTCTTTGTGAGTGGCAGTAAACTGTTAGTCAGATGACATCACTCTTTTGTCTCGGCAGCAAACACTGGCACAGTGGAGGAAGGTGTTCTGGACGTGTGCCATTGTACGCCTTCTCTGATGTCTTCTACCTCATCTTCTGCTCGGCCTCTGCCCAGCCCTGGAACAAAGACGGCTTGGAACAACACACTGAAAGTAATGCTGAAGTTCTACAAGATGGCAGTCATTACACAGGCGAGACCGCCAGCAAGACCTGCAGTCCTCAGTTGAAGGGATCATGTACAGTATAAACAATGGTTTAATGGCGCTGGACAACGGTGAGCAAAACTAAATTGATTAATTTTTATTCATTAATGTTTGTATTTTTATCAACAATATGTACACTGTATAATACACAGATACTGAGAACATGAACTAAATAGGAATAATAATTAGAGATTTAAATGTGTGTCAGACAATAAATTTACTCGGCAGCCTTGACTTTCCTCTCTCCTCTTTACCACTCGTCAGCTTACTCGCTGGTCGGGCTGGCAGTCTGTTCTTTCAGATATTTTTAGCAACTGTTGGATGTTTATACTCTGTACCTGAACAACTCTTATTACAAAGAAGCTACTCTAGTACTAACATTTTTGTGATGATATTACCAGCATTCTTGTTTTAGGCAGCGTTTGATTGGATAACAGCTGCTATTGCACTGTGGAATAACCTCACCAGGAGCGTTGCCACTCTGTAACTCATCTCGTCGATACATGTATTAATAAACGTACTTGTTCCTGGTACATGTTTAATATGCAAATATTGTGACCATTGAATAAAAATATAAGATGGTCATAAATGTGGCTGTGTACTGGCACGGCACTAAAACATTCAATAGTTACACAAACGCTTAAAATATTACGCTTCCAAGCATAATTCAAGCCACTGCTTCCCTCCATGTGCATACTTAGGTATCAGTGGCCTTCATCCTTGAATATTTCAGGAAAATTTGTTGGTCAGCAGGATCACAGAGGGCAGCTGCCATAGTGTTCCGTGTTCAGCTCCTGTGTGGGTTATTGTGGTGTTTGTATGGCTCTTGTAGTTCTGTGGTTGAGATTGGTGGATTAAGAATGTTGAGTGACCGTCTGTGTGCAGTGTGGTGCTGGCGGCTAGTGTCATAGTGTCAGTGTCAATGCAGTTTCAGTGAATCTTAAAACTTACTTACCGTTACTTGTGGACCAAATCTTGTATGGGGCGACAGGGTCAGTGACAATATTGTAAGGATATACAGTACGTGAGTTTACTCAGTGTTTATTGCACTTGTTGCCAAACATGAAGAATGTGTTGGTCGCACAATATATATATATATATATATATATATATATATATATATATATATATATATATATATATATATATTATATATATATATATATATATATATATATATATATATATATATATATATATATATATATATATTAAAAACACTTTGTTGGTTTTCTTTTATTGTAGAAAAATATAGTTTCACAGGTACTGACTTCAGTTGAGAATATATTGTACCTTCTATACTAAGGGAGGTGTCTTAGTGCACTTCAGGATAACACTTAAGTGAGGTGTTCACTGGGTAACAAGTGATATTATAATCTCTCTCTCACACCAGGGAGAGGGTGGTCAAGCAGGCCTCAAAAGGAAACGCGTCAGATGTTTGTTGCTGAGCTGCGCTGACCCAGCTTAACTTCGCTCGCTCCCGGAGGAAATGTCAACACCAATTGATTCATACTCATGGGTGAATGACCTGGTGACTATTTGGGTATTATACATTTGGGTAAATATTTATATAATACAAATGGTGCTGTTGCAAGAAAGGATAAGTGAGAACCTTTATAATTTAACTGATATAAGCAAAACAAATACTTACGCCCATTCTTTTTTAAATTTTGTGGATTAGTAGCCATAAAGTGACTCTCCAACCCGTAAACCATTTTCTTTTTAATTTGTAAGCCAAATCGGGTGACTTTGTAGTGGATCTCTCCCATACAACTGCGTATCCGCATTCCAATGCGACAGTATCCTAGCAACCAGCGAGCTGCTTGGGGGGGGGTCGCCACCTGCTACATCTACCCTAGCAACGGAGTCAAGCAACCGGCGAGTTCCCACGGGTTTACTTCTGGCTGCTGTGTATATAAGCTCTCAGTCTCTCCATTGAGATTCATTCTGCCCTACGTTCCTGAACACGCAACACCTCCTCCAAGCAAGCTCCTCGCTGTCCAGCTCTCATTCAACCTGGAGGACAGCAACACGCAACATCTCCTCTAACCAAGCTCCTGCACAGATACCTCCTCAAGCACGCTACTCACTGAACGTGTCTCTTGAGCAAGCTTCTCACCACACGGCATCTCCAGCACCAGACTGTCTTGTATACAATATATTTTATATAAGAAAACCACCACCTAGAGTTTCCATCCATCCATCCTCAGTGCTAGACAACATAATATCACGAAACCCTACAATTGGTGACCCCGGAGTGACGCACTCACACAGGATGGAGGACGGACGGATCTCTCTACCGACTTTCAACCACAACGTCTAGGACTGGTTAGATCATGTGGAAGCAATCCTCATCAGCTCACAAGCTACTGACGAGCAAAAGTACGGTGGCCTGCTCTCCTCCTTGCCCACGGAAGTTGCCACGCATGTATCACGGACGACTTCCAACCCTCCAGAAAACAACAAATTCGCCACCCTGCGGGACACCTTAAAAACGCATTACTGACGGACCCGCCCCAGTCTTCTGCAGAACCTATCTTCTATCTCCCTTGGAAACTCAACTCCGGGACTTCTCTGGGAGGAGATGTTTAGGCTAAACTCCCGGCACACAGACAGACTTCCCAAACCCATCCTGCGCCAGCTTCATGCACAAAAGCTCCCCCACACAAGTACGTATCACCCTGTCCGCAGTAGATTACTTGACGACACCTGAACTTTACGCAACCGCGGCAGATAGAATATTCAACGCATACACTGCTGTGTGCCATGCTGCCGCAAACCACTCAGTGGTCACACCTCCACTTAGCCCCGGTTTCGTCAATCTGATCAATGCTCCTCAGAGAAATAGCATTCCACCAGACAAGCAAGACATCAGGGACCTGTTGCAAACTTTGAACTGCAGGATGGACACCATTGAACAGCTCTGCTCCTCCATGCCTGCTTCTTCTCCTGTTCCTGCCCCACACACTGTGTCCTACCAACCCCAACACCCCCGTCCTGCCCCAGACCCCGCCGCCAGCCCCCAGCACAATGTACCTACCTTCTGTTGGTTCCATCAACGTTTTGGCGCTAAAGCTAGACGCTGTAAGGCTCCCTGCAACTACACGGCGAAGCAACATCGACGGAGACTGGTAGGCGCCATAACCTCCGCCACTATCAAGCAGCACATCACACGCCTTACTTCTGACCTTGACCACTTCACTCCTGCTGCCCGTCACGACCTACTACAAACTCTACATCAGGCGGTTTCTGCATTCAAGGGTACTGCCCCACGCCAGCCTTCCCACCACCCTGAACACGTTCATCCCGCACCTCCTCCGCCAGCCTACCCACCATTGCCACTTAGAGCACTACCTCGCCCACAACATTTCTGCATACCCTCTTTTCATCCTCAGGTACCTACTGCTCCTGATGACCCCGCAGCTGGCCCTAATGACCCAGATACCCCACCCTGCCCCCCTCCACCTGCGGCGATAGAAGCACCACATTCCTCGCTAGTACAACCTTCTCTTATCCACAACCCTCCTTCTCCCTCTGCTTCTCCCACAGATCTCGTGCTTCCAGACAGAGTCGTCTCCCGCTGTGGCCGACTGATCCACACCCCTGCCCGTTATGTCTCACAAGTGAGATACAACCCTGCCGACAACAAGTCTCCTGCAGCGCCCGGAGGGGAGGGGGAGTATTGTAGTGGGTCTCTCCCCTACAACTGCGTATCCGCATTCCAATGCGACAGTATCCTAGCAACCAGCGAGCTGCTGGGGGTCGCCACCTGCTATATCTACCCTAGCAACGGAGTCAAGCAACCGGCAAGTTCCCACGAGTTTACTTCCGGCTGCTGTGTATATAAGCTCTCAGTCTCTCCATTGAGATTCATTCTGCCCTACGTTCCTGAACACGCAATACCTCCTTCAAGCAAGCTCCTCGCTGTCCAGCTCTCATTCAACCTGGAGGACAGCAACACGCAACATCTCCTCTAACCAAGCTCCTGCACAGATACCCCCTCAAGCACGCTACTCACTGAACGTGTCTCTTGAGCAAGCTTCTCACCACACGGCATCTCCAGCACCAGACTGTCTTGTATACAATATATTTTATATAAGAAAACCACCACCTAGAGTTTCCATCCATCCATCCTGAGTGCTAGACAACATAATATCACGAAACCCTACAACTTGGTAATCGTATTGATTGTTATTGAACATTGAGCCAAGTCATTGGGCGCTCTCTCCCTCCCCATTGACTATTAATCTAGTTACGAATTAATAGAAAAAGTATTCGAAATACAATATATGTTAATTAAGATGGGAAAATAACGAAAAATAATATGAATGTGATAATGGACGAGCGATTTGTTCTGGGTAAACACAAAAATACACCAGCCACGTTCGTAGGAGTGATACGGTATATATAATTTGTACAAAAACCCAAAGTCCTGCTATAATAGTAGTAGAGATAAGTTTACTTCTGTAGAAACAGGCCGCCATTTGCAATGACGCCATTAGTTTCCTCAGCAGATTTATATTTCTTATCAAACTCACAGCTGCAGTCGGAGGTAGTACAAAGGTAACTTCCTTGAGACCTCAAATTCACGTTCAGGTAAGTTTAAGGTGTTTTTTTTTGGTCTGAAGTAATGGTCATTTCGTAAGGAAGAATGTGCCTCGAAGAGCAGTTTCAAAACATAGGTTGGATGGATATATGAGCGATAGGGGTTGAGGTAAATGACTGCTTCAGTATGGGCTAATAGGCCCACTGCAGTTTCTCCATTCTTATGTTCTTATGGACAAAACTCCCATGTCTTCACACCAGCTCAGCCAGTCATGTATTCTTACCCGGGTAGAGTTTATAATTTTTTTTTCAGTGCATTTACAGAGTATATCATACAGTACTAGATGGAGATACGAGTCAATTAAGAAGTAATGACATTGTCTGACTTTGTTTTGAGAATGCCTCGATGCTAGTAAAACATGACAACATAGTTGTTAT